CCCCCGCCCCCGCCCCCGCCCCACTGCTCCGGATTGCAGAACACCGTCCTCGAGGCGTCCGACGAGAACATCGGCATCCCCACCGACGCTCGGCTGTTTGCCCTGGCCAATGGCCTGCATGCGGGCTACTCGATCGAGCGCATCTGGGAGCTGACCAAGATCGACCGGTGGTTCCTCAGCAAGATGGCGCGCATCGTGGCCGCCGACAAGGCTCTCCAGGCCCTGGCCGCCGGGGCCGGGGCCGCCGAAACCCCGGCCGACATCAGCCCCATGCACTTGCGCCGTGCCAAGCAGCTGGGCTTCTCCGATGGGCAGATCGCCCGGGCCCTCCGGTCTACGGAGATGGCCGTCCGGCGCCGGCGCCTTGATTGCGGCGTCCGGCCCTTCGTCAAGCAGATTGACACGGTGGCCGGTCTGGATGGCTCGCGCGCCAATTACTTCTACCTGACATACCATGCCACCGAGGATGATGTGGCCTTCGAGGATCGCGGCATCATCGTCCTCGGGTCCGGTGTCTACCGCATCGGCAGCTCGGTGGAGTTCGACTGGTGTGCGGTTCGCTGCATCCGGACCCTGCGCGAGACTGGCTTCCGCACGGTCATGATCAACTACAACCCGGAGACCGTGTCCACGGACTACGACGAGGCGGATCGCCTGTACTTCGAGAACATCACCACCGAGACCGTGATGGATGTCTACGACCTGCAGTCCTCCCAGGGGGTGGTCATCAGCATGGGCGGCCAGACGCCGAATTTGATTGCCCTCGGCCTGCACCGGCAGGGGGTCCGGGTGCTCGGCACGTCGCCGGAGTCCATCGACTGCGCGGAGAACCGCTACAAGTTCTCCCGCATGCTGGACAAGATCGACGTCGACCAACCGGCCTGGCGGGAGCTGGCCTCCTTCGATGATGCGCGGAGCTTCTGCCGTGCGGTCACCTACCCGGTCCTGGTCCGGCCGAGTTACGTCCTCTCGGGCGCCGCCATGAATGTGGTCTTTACGGAGGCCGATCTGGAATCGTACCTTGGCAAGGCGGCTTCCATTTCGCCGGAGCACCCGGTGGTTGTGACCAAGTTCATCGAGGGCGCCAAGGAGATCGAGGTGAATGCGGTCGGCCGCGGGGGTGAGCTCATCATGCATGTCGTTTCCGAGCATGTGGAAAATGCCGGTGTGCACTCCGGCGATGCGACCCTCGTCCTGCCCCCGCAGGACCTGGACCAGGAAACCACCGACAAGATTGTCCAGGCCACCGGGCTCATTTGCCGCGAGCTCCACATCACCGGCCCCTTCAACATCCAGTTCATCGCCAAGGACCGTCGCATTCAGGTGATCGAGTGCAACCTGCGTGCCTCTCGGTCGATGCCCTTCGATTCGAAGGTCACCGGGGTGGACCTCATCGAGATGGCCACCCGGGCCATGGTCGGCCTGCCGGTGACCGCCTACCCGGCCCCGACCCCGACCCCGGGGTCGGGCTCCGGTCCGGTGGTCGCGGTCAAGGTCCCGCAGTTCTCCTTCTCCCGGCTGTCCGGCGCCGACCCGGTGCTGGGCGTGGAGATGGCCTCCACCGGTGAGGTGGCCTGCTTCGGGCGCACCCACCATGAGGCCTACCTCAAGGCCCTGGAGGCCACCGGCTTCCGGCTGCCCGCTCGCAATGTCCTCATTTCCATCGGGTCGTATGCCGAGAAGTCGGAATTGCTGCCGGCCATCCGCAAGCTGGCCACCCTGGGCTACCGGCTCTTTGCCACTCCGGGCACGGCGGACTTCCTGGCGTCCAACGGCGTGGAGGTGGGCTTCCTGGAGCAGATTTCCGAGGACAGTGCCCCGGCCCCGGCCCCGGCGGCCGGTGGCGGGGGCTCCTCCGCCAACAGCCCGCCCATCAGCCCATCCTCCTCGAGCAGCAACCTGGCGGCCCTGGCGGCCTCCGGCACCGCCGGCACGTCCACCCCTCGGCGTGATGAGTACAGCCTGGCCAATGCCCTGGCCTCGAAGCAGATCGACCTCTACATCAACCTCCCCTCGAAGAACAGCTTCCGCCGGCCGGCCAACTACGTGTCGGCTGGCTACCTGAGCCGGCGTCTGGCCGTGGACTTCTCCGTGCCGCTGATCACCAATGTCAAGTGCGCCAAGCTCTTCATTGATGCCCTTGCCAAGGCTGATCGTCGTGCTCTGCCGGTGGTCCTGGACGGCAGCGGCGACTCGCTGGCCGCCACCCGGCCGGTGCGTGTGGGCGCCTGCGATGTGCTCTCCTCGGCCGAGACGGCCCTGATGCCGGCTCTGGTGGATCTGGCGCTGGCTCCCCCGGCGTCGGCCGGTATGCCGGCCACGGTCACCGAAGCGGCCGCCCGTGTGGGCGCCTATGCCGAGGCGTCTCTTCGGTCGGGCTTGGGCTTTGTTGGCATCGATTTGGGAGCCCTGCCGGAGGAGCTGGGCGCCGGTTTGGCCGGGGCCCTGGCCGCCACGGAGACCCCGCTGCCGGTGGACCACGGTTTGGTGGGGGCCCTCGGTGCTGGCCTGGCCGCGGCGGCGGCGGCTCCCCTGCTGGCTGCGGTCCTGCGGCAGCCCTTCCCCACGACGGCCGACGCCCTGGCCCGGGCGCAGAAGCTCCTGCAGCAGGGCGCCGATGGCCGGGCTTTGGTTTTGGCTGCCTCGGGCCCGGAGCTCGGTGCCTGGCTGCTCCTGGCGGCGGGCGTGTGCCGCCGGCCAGTGCATGTCACCGGCGTGGCCTCGGTGGCCGATCTGCGCCTGATCGCGGCCACCCGGGCCGCCGGCGTGGCGACCGTCACCTGTGACGTCAGCGCGGAGGACCTTTTCTTCGGCCCGGAGGCTGGTGACCTTTGGAAGAACATTGCCCTGGTGGATGTCATCCAGCCCGGCTCGTCGCCCTTCGCCGATGTCTCCTCCACTCCCGGCCCCTCCCGGCCGGCTGGGGCGGAGGCCGATGCCGACCACGGCCAGAGCACGACGGAGTACCACCCGCAGGAGCACTTCCTGCCCCTGCTCCTGACCGCTGTCCATGAGGGCCTTCTCACCCTGGAGGAGGTCATCGCCAAGTGCTGCCACAACCCGGCCCGGATTGTGGGCCTTCCGGGAACCGCCGCCACCATGGCCGTGGGCAGTGCCCCGGCGGCCCCGCTGACCGGCTGGCAGGCCGCTTCTCCGACTGGCCTGCTGCTGGAGGTGGAGCTGGACCGGGCCGGCGTCGCCGGGGCCGGGGCTCTGCCCACTCTGAATGGCCGCAGCCCCGCCAATGTCCTCAAGTCCGGTGTTCTCCGCGGGCAGGTGGCTCGTGTGTTCACCCAGTTGCCGGAGCATAGCCGCGTCCGGTCGGGCCTCTCCTCGGCCGGGACCCTGGTGCTTGATGGGGCCGCTCTGTCGGGCCGGCGCCATGTTGGCACCCTGCGGACGGCCGTCCTGGCGGCGGCCTCGCGCGCTGATGGCCTGGGCGTCGATGCCCCGGCTGGGGCTGGCACCCCGGCGGGCCTCGGCAAGAAGCACGGCACTGATGCGCCCGCCGGCGCGCATGCCGATCTCCTCCCGGCTGTCGCCACCTCCGAGCAGCAGTCGCAGCAGCAGCAGCCGCCGCCGCAGTCGCAGCAGCCAGGCCACCACAGTGCCGTCGTGACTGAGGCGGCCCCGGGCGAGGAGCTGCCCGCCCCGGCCCCGGCCCCGGCCTCGGCCCCGGTTGTTCTGGCCGGCGCTGGCGTTGTTCCCCCTGCCAGCTGCCCGGCGGCCCCGAGCGCCGCCAAGACCGCCCTGGCCTCGCGGCATGTCCTGGCAGTTGGGACTTGGAACCGGTCTGCCCTGCACCGGCTGTTTGAGCTGGCGCAGGATATGCGCAAGCTCGTGGAGCGCGGCCCGACTGGGGCCCTGGCTGGCGCTGAGCAGGCCCTCCGCGGGCGGGTCCTTTGCACGGTCTTCTATGAGCCCTCCACTCGGACTTCGGCCTCCTTCGAGGCGGCCATGCTGCGCCAGGGCGGCTCGGTGGTCAGCATCCCGGTCGAGCGGAGCTCCGTCCAGAAGGGCGAGTCCCTGGCCGACACGGTGCGCACGCTGGACTCCTATGCCGATGCCATTGTCCTGCGGCACCCGGGTGCCGGTGCGGTGGCCGAGGCCGCGGCCACGGTGGCCCGGGCCCCGGTCATCAATGCCGGCGATGGCATTGGCGAGCATCCGACCCAGGCCTTCCTGGACCTGTTCACCATCCGCGAGGAGCTTGGCACGGTGAGCGGCCTGCGGGTGGCCTTCGTGGGCGATTTGCTGAATGGCCGGACCGTGCATAGCCTGGTCCGCCTGCTGGCCCTGTATGGGGTCCATGTGCACCTGGTGGCCCCTCCGGGGCTGGAGCTGCCGGAGTATGTCCTTGCCGATGCGGAGGCCGGTGCTCGGCGCCACAACGGCCAGGGCTTCCTGTCGGTGCAGCACCATGGCTCGGTGGATGAGGTCATTTCCCTGGTGGATGTGGTGTATGCCACGCGTCTGCAGCGGGAGCGCTTCGCTGCCACCGACACCGAGCAGGGGGCGGCCCAGCTGCGCGAGGCCCATGCCGAGTATCTGGCCCGCTGTGCCATCACCCCGGCTCGCATTGCCCAGGCCAAGGACAACATGATCGTCATGCATCCGCTCCCGCGCGTGGATGAGATTGACCCGCGTGTGGATCTCGACCCGCGTGCCGCCTACTTCCGCCAGATGCGCTACGGTCTGTACGTGCGCATGGCACTCCTGCGTCTTGTTCTCCTGGGACAGTGAGCGCGCAAGAGGGCGCGGATATGAGCGTGCATGCGTGCCGCATGGTGGCGGTGGAGAGGTGTACTTTCCCCTCCCCGCGAGCCGCCTGCGCGCCGCCCTCACACTTGTATTTTCGGAAAAGAAAAATAGACAGACATCTCAAAATACACACACACATCCTCTCATGCGCGCGCCCCCATCAGTATCTCCAGCTCCAGAGGAGACCCCTCTTCCGGTAGCGCCCCGACCAGCAGCAAGAGAGCATGTACAGGTCTGTGGCCGGGTGCCCTTTTATTTATATCTCTCCGCTTTGTGGAAGACCCCTCTCCGCCCGTTTCCCGTCCTGCGCCCCAGGCCTCGACCATGGCCTGAGGCATTCCCCGTCGCGAGTGTGTGGTTCACATGTGCCAAAAGGCATGCCTACGCCAAAAAAAAAAATTCAGCAGGGCCACTGTGGAGGATGATCCACCCCACGAGAAAAAAACCCTCGCACGCCTTCAGTAGGCGGGACTGGCAGATGGGATGGGGGGGGGGCAACAGCCTCCAGGAGGGGCATGCTTCCAAGATGGAAACAAGCGAGGAGGGGTCCCCGGGGAACATCAAGCCGGGCGGGCTTGGGAGACTGTGGGCTAGACCCATCCACTGGTCAGCCGACACTGAGGAATGCCAAAAGGGGCGCCCATGCCACTTTGACGCCACGCCTTTGGCGGGGCCCGTGCTTCTATCGGGCTGATCATGCCATCTGTGCATGTGATTGGAGGCCTGAGGATATCGCCATTCGCCATGGCCTCTGGGCCCATTTGCTCTCGCTCGACTCGCCCAAGGTCCTCGCAAAGACCAATGGCGTGGCATGAACCGCCCCTGCGCGCGCGCGCCCCCCCCCCCCCTGCCCCCTTTCGCCAGCGGGGACAAGCCCGAAAAATGCTTGGTGCACCCTCCTCACCGGCGGCCGTGTGTCCGAATATGTTTGTCCTGTCTGCATGTATGTGTGTATGTCTTAATACGTGTGTCCATCCCCGCGCACGTCTACATGTGTTGGCGAGAGGGTGTATTTGTGTGGGTCTCAGTGTTTGACTGAGTGTGTGAGAGTGCGCATGTGGGTGTGCATCGATGTATGTGTGTCCACACTTCTGGTTGGGAGGCTGCCAGAGTTTCTCCTCCTGGCAAAGAAAATTGGGACAAGAGAAGACGCGTGTTTGACCTGACATCGGCCGAGCGTCCAAGTGGTGCTCGTGAAGAAAGGGACCTCGCTGAAAGAATGTCGGCCGGGACAACAGACGCCCTCCGTCGCAAAGTCTCCCGGCCATCGGGGGGAAGCACGTACCCCCGGGTCGAGGGGGGGGGGGGGGGGGCAGGGCGCCCGAAAATGCCGGAAACTGTGCCCCTCGCCTCTGCCCACCCTGATTGCTTTGACTAATGGCCAGCCGCCGGTATTGTCGGCTGAGACGGAGACAGAGAGAAAGAGCGATGGAGGGAGGGGGAAAGAAAGAGAGGAACAACGAGGGGGGCCAGGGGTCGCGAAGCGAAGCTCCCGGCGGCGTCCGGCGGGCCAGCCCATCGCCGGCCGATTTTGTGGCCCCCTCTCGTCCCCCCCCCCCCCTCCGACCATTACTGCATCCTATCTGAGCACTGGAGATCTCTCATGACGAAAGGGAGCACAAGGCAGGCCCCCCCCCCCCCCCCCATTCTCCCCCGTCATCTTCATGAATCCCCCCGCCTCCTCGCCCTTTGTGGCGGGACCCATATGAAGAAGATGAAGGGAGAAAGGCCAGCCATGCCCCACACAGGAAAGGGAAGACGGAAGCAAGCGCGATGGAGATGGCGCTATGGCAGGGGGGGTGGGGTGGGGCGGGGTGAAAGGAGCCGAGAGAAACACAAGGCAGGGGTGGGGGGAATATGGAAGAGAAAAGGGCTGACGCTGTATATCGGCACAAGGGGGTGGGGTGGGGGAGAGAGCGCGAAGAGAGGGAGGCGAGAGGGGGAGAAAAGAGGACGACGGGGCACATGCACACACACACACATGCACAAGGGGAAAGGAGGGGGATGCACATGCGCCCAACAACTACAAGGAGAGGGAGAAGAGAGGGGTGGGAAGGGGGGGGGGGCACACACACTGGGATCACCACACAGCGGCTGCACGTCCACAAGTGACACACTCACCCACACAGCGCGCAAACCCTATGTATGCACCAGACACACATGCGCGAGGGAGGGGGGGGGGCGGGACTGCTCTCGAGCACATGTGTGCTCGGGGGAGGAGTGTGCGCCGGCCTCCTTAGCCGTGGGCGTATTTCCGGGTCCACTGGCGGGCGGTGGCCTCGTACTTCTCGCGGTCGGACTTGTAGAGGTTGGCGGCATCGGCAACGAGCGGGTCATCCGGGTTGGGATCCGTCAGCAGGGAGCAAATGGACAGCAGGACCTTGGAAATGGTCAGCGCCGGCGACCACTGGTCGCGAAGAATGTCCAGACAAATGGCTCCGGAGGAGTTGATGTTCGGGTGATAGATCTTGGTGGTGAAGTTCACACGGGGGGGCTTGAAGGGGTAGTCGGTGGGGAAGTGGATGTTAAGGAAGAAAACACCGCCGGCGTAGGGGGAGTCCGCCGGGCCCATGATGGTAGCCTGCCAGTGGAACATCTCGGTGCCGACCGGGCCGGCCGAGCAGGAGGTGGGCGGATCGCGGGCCAGATCCTGGAGCTCCTTCTGAATGCGCTTAAGGGCCATGGTGGAAGCTACGAAAAACTACGATGACCGGATCGGGGGGAGGGGGGGGGGGATGTGTGAGAAAAAAGAAGGGCAACCAGGAGCGGGGCGTGTGTGTGGGGGGGGGGGGGCCGAGAAAGGGGCTGCGCGCACCTATCGCAAGGTCTGAAAAGAGGAAGGCAGAAACTCACGGAGCTGATTCTGCTGTGTGGTGGGGGGGGGGAGGGGGACGCGCGGGTGGGGGAGGAACACACAAACACGCAGCGAGGGAAGAGGAGGGGGAAGAGAGGAAAATAGGATTTTTACACCCATCGGCTAGCTGAAAACCGCCGCCCTGCGCCGGAGCTTCCGACTTCGGTGGCTTATGATGTACTCTGCCCCCCTTCCCCCCCC